GTTCCACTGATTTATTTATTTATAGTTTCAAATATATCTCTCAAGTCAATAATAAACAAATATTCAAAATTTATGTTTCTTATGACTTACAACTGAATAGTAATAATCATGGCATCACCAAATCTACTCTTTGTAACTAAACTTTTTATCTGATTGGCAGTAGTTTCAGTGAAGAAACATTATTAATTGATTTTTTTATTAAATAAACAATATAAAAATTGATTATTTACACCTATTACTGAAAAAAGAGAAATACAGTACCAGTACCATTATCTGAATCTGATTTGTTCCTGAAAAAGATTCAAATAAATACAGTATCAGGATTTCAGATATTGGAAAATGTTTTCCACTGTTTCTTATAGAAAATTCTAACTTATTTCTGGTTCATATGAAAACCCTAGTAAATTTTCCTAAATGATATAAAAATACAGCAAAAAACTTGTAAAAAATAGGTAAATTGACTTATTAGTCCACATTTTCATCATGGTATTAAACATTACAAATTTCAATTATCTTACTAATAAATGCTCAATGGGTTAAAGGATATGTTTGTAAACAATAATGCAATAAATTCTTTGCAGAAAGGCAACTCCATATTTATATCATCTTTATGACACATGGCCAGCAGTTCAGTCTACCAGAGATCTGGGATCTGGACACATTAAAAACCCTAGAAATTTTTCAGGGATGCTCCATCCCAGATATGCCTTGCCCAAAATCAAGCCTATTGTGGGTCTGGTTGAATCCACAATAGGTTTGATTAAAAAGTTCTCTTAGTGCCCGCAGGGCAGAAAGAGTAAAAAAAAAATCCTCAAGACAAAATGCTAATAATTTCTAAAGTCATTTATTATTTGACAAAAATATTTTTCAAGACTATTAAATTTCATCTTCAGATCCAAACAAAATAATGATTTGAGATATTGATTGAAAAAGACAGGATAGTTATGTGACAAAAATTTTTAGAAAGAGTACATATGTCCCAATATACATTATCTTAAATTCTAGATCTGTGGGAGTACAAAAGGGCTGTGTGGAGGCATTAATACTTTTAATATCTTTATCTTGTTCACTTTGTATACAAGTGAACAACAGAATTTGGATAGTGAGATAGTGGTATCTACAGAGATTTGCCAAGAAGAGGGACTAAACAAATTGCTTGGCAATCCTATTGATGTTATAGAAAGAATTTTTGGAGGCTAGAGAAGAAGACTGGGAAAAATCTGTATAAGACAGTTTTTGATATGTTTTGAATCAAGAAACAAGAATAGATTCTTTTGACAAGGCAGGAATCTATAAGAACCTTCAGAGGAAAAAGGGAGAAAAGAAAAAATGTATGTAAAGGCCACTGGACACAACTTGAGGAAAACTTCTTAATTAGGGGACATCAGAAGGACAAGAAAGACAAAATTAGAATAAGCTTAGCAGCAGTGATGTATAGTAAGAACATAGAAGCTGAGTGGGATAGAACTAAGTTAGACACAGAAGTTAGAAAAAGAGAGAATAACTCAATGGCAGAAAAGATAGAGATTTACAGACAATGTATGAAAGATGTAATAGTCAATACTAGGAACATCAATAATTTTTCAAATGTGTAGAAATGGTTGCTAAATAAAAAAGTTTAATTAATAAAGGTTACCCTTGTACAACACAGCACATCTACAACATGATTTTGTTCTAATATGGTTCAAAAATTTGGGAAATCCTCTATACAAAATTTCACAATATTTAAGTGAAAACTCCTTTATTCAATATTTTTTAATTCAAGCATGCATGTTATCTCAAATTTGCACATGGATTTTAAAATATTGAAATTTTCAATTTATTTTGTATCTTTTGTCAGGTTTAATGAAAACTGATAGTACAATTTTTTTCCTCCTTGTCCTAGCTTTCTTATCAACCAGATGTCATTGCTGTTGCTTTTAGATTTTAGCCTTTAAGACTGTCACTGTTTTATTTTTATAGATTAATCTTCATATTTAGTAAAATTTATTTAAATATTTTTAGGAAAGTGTTATTAAGTGTAGGTAAGTAATCATTAGTAAAAATGATGAATTGAATACATTAGTATCTTGGTATTCAAACTTCCCAACTCAAACAATTCGTTATTTGAATACAAAGTCTGGAAAACATCGCTCAGTCCTCAAACATGACCTTCTAGAACAAATTTTCAATTAATAACATATTTTTATTTTCTATTTTGTCATGCACAAAAAAATTTTTTGGTAAAAATTTAAAAAATGAAGACATTGTTGATCATTATGATAAAGATCAACAAAAAACTCAGATAACAATACTTTGTAAAATGAAAACACCCTCGTTTAACTAAAATTAATATTAATGTGTATATATCAATTAACTGTAATATAGTACAGTTAATTGTTTATTGAAAATAAGTTATTGATTGCTTTAATAAACATATTTCTCTTAGTGCTTAAAAAGAATAATATACTTTTATTAACTTTTGTAGCTTAACCTGTATTTTGTATTAATCTCGTTTCATATAGCACGGATTTGCATAACACTACTTTTTTGGAACTAACTACCTTGTTATACAAGGGATATCTCAGATAAGGCTACAGTTACTATGGGTGCAAATTCTGACAAAATTTTGTTCTGACGAATTCGTCCAAACAAACAATTACCTGTTTTCCAATGAGAGTGTTTACTTTGGCAGCAAAGGGCATGTCAAAACACGCACGCTGTAGTCAGAGCCATTTGAGCGTTCAAATGAGTTTGATTTTTTTGTGCGTTCTGACGTTGAATTTTGAGTGTTTTGGTTTTTTTCAACATGGATATTGATAAATTGATTAGTCTTGTGTTCGAGAATAGGTGTTTGTGGGATATGAAAGACAAACTATCACAACAGTGATATTTCTTGGCAGAGATAGCTCTCATTCTGAAATACTCGAAAAACTTTTGTGGGTTGTTCCACAAATCTTGATATAACATTTGGAACTCTCCCTTATCATCTGTTGTGGAAAATAAGTAATTAACATGCTCTGTTTTCCCACCATGTATCAACAATAACTTAATCAACGGACTTTCAAGAAAATAAAACTCATCAAGTTCATCCATTTTGCTGGGAGGCAGAAACATAATGACTATCAGAAAACACACACAGTGTAGCCACCTTGTTCTGACAAGGATTTCGGATGTACTCGTCAGAACAAAATTTTGTCAGAATTCTTATCCATAGTAACAAAGTAGTTTTCCGTAGCATAAAGTAGTTTTAGAAAAACTACTTTAATTTAACTGAGAGGATTCTTTGGGTCAGTTGTAAAAAGTGTTGTTCTGCTATAAATTTAAAAGTTCATGTAAGAGTATTCAAAATCAAAATGTTCTTTTTGTTTCTTTTGTCTTCTTTTTATAGTGTGAGTTCAATCTTTTGAATGTAACAACTGTTGAACTTTGAAAAAGATATGAGAGAAGAGACTGTTTTACCTCTGGATTGTTTACTCTCTGGTGTTTTGGTTTTATTTGTGTTTATTTTATGTTTGTTATAAACTCAGAAGATTGAGCAGAGATCCAAAAGAGCTTAGTGTATGAGGATCAGTAAAAAAGAATACCTCTACAAATAAAGCAGTGAATTGTAGGTGTTTTTTTTAGTAAACAGATATTTATTTTCTAGTCTGACTTCAGTGCAACAATTTTGCTTGTTACATATGTGAAAATAAACAAACAAAATAAATAGTGAACCTGATGTATTGAACTGTTAGGAATAAAACAGGATAGGCAAGACATACACTGCAAAAATAAACTTAAATGTAAGTTAGAATTTTATTATACTATTTGGTATGACTTGACTTCCTTTTTTTTGTACAGTTTCTTTAGAGAGCCAATGTGCTAAACCTCTTAGTGTCCATAGGAGAGAAAGGGCTAAAAAAATGAAAATTTGTATAAAATAAATAGCCAAGAGAAATTCTGACCATAAAGGAAACCTAATAATATACAAAAAAATGTTCTAATATAGCATTTGGTCCTAGACAAGATGAAGATGAAATGATGTTATCTGATAAAAAGACAAAGAAAGGTAGTAATTTTAATGTTAATATAAATTAACATTAAAATTACTACCTAATTTTAATGTTACTACCTAATTTTAATGTTAATATAAATTAACATTAAAATTACAAAATCATAACAAAATGATTAAATACCTGTTTAGCTTATAAATGCAACCCAACTGTATACAAACTACTCAACAACAATAAGGATAAGATTGAAGATAGCAAAACTCCTGGGGTATACAGTATACCATACCACTATGACAAATTCGATAGAAGTCTAACATATATAAGCTCAAAAAACAAATCCTTAGCACAAAGACTCAAATAGCACCAATACAATATTAGTAAAAACAAATAAAGTACAGTTCTAGCACACTATGCAAGCAAGGAATGTCTCCACAATGGGCAGACTCAAAGCTTTTAAAATGCACATTCAATAACCATAAACAAAAAACCATGGAAGCGTTTGAAATATTTGCCACAACACTTACAGGAAGTTGCATTAACAAGAGAGAATCTATATCCATATTCAAGGCATGACAATCTATGTTGAATAATCCCTTAAAAAACAGCAGTGACCAATAATACACACAATAATAGCAATTTACATCTTGCCAAATAATTTAATTTTTTAGTTTTTCAGTTATATTATTTATTAGAGGCATTTTAATAATTTTATTCATAATTGTTCATTTAATTTGTTAAAAGTATATTAATCTCTATGTAAATTTAATATATTTTTATTACTACAAATACTTTATTGTAATAAGAAAAATCTTGTTACAGGGGGTTGACTTTAGAGAATTGCAAAAATACAATTATTACTTATTGAAACATTTTTTAAAATATCTTGTTACATAAGATTTGTTAAACATAACATATTAATCATTCAATCTACATATCATATTTCAAATTTTTTAAAACATGAACAAAAAGTAATGAATATTATACATCTTACATAATGGAATTCTTTCTAGATTGGTTCCAAAATTTCTTCTTAATTTAAATCAAAAAACTCTTTTAATTTAAATTTACATTGCGCTTCTTCATTCTTTGGACACTCAGTGAGAATATAATAAATGTTTTATAAAAATGATTATAAAAATCAAGTAGAACTCGCCTATCCGCTGGCAAAAGAAGTTTAATAAATTTAGTGGTAATTATATCCATTCCAGGAGCTGTTTTCGTTTTTAATTTACGAATTGATAAATCCAGTTCTTCAGTAGATATTGGAATATCTAAACTTTCATTGAAAGAAATTTTTATATAGGCATAGGAGAAACTGTAATTTCTGTAAATTAATTTGAATTCTTAATTTTTAATAAATTGAAATAGATTTTTGGCTTAACGATATTGACTGAATGCCGTTGATAATTTTTTTTTTTTTTAAACTGAAGTAATGCTTTAGTTATTTTCATTCTTAAATTCATATAATCTGAATCATACCATAGTTTTTTGATCCTAATAATTTCGAATTTCTATTCTATCTTGTTTTATCATATTCTTTTATTATATTTACAAACTTAGTATATTTTTCAATATCTTCAGTTAATCTCTCAACCAATAAACAGCTCATCCTATCACTGACTTATTCTTGATATCATTAATATTGATAGTCAGTTATCATATTCTTCGATATAATATAATTAATATGATATGAATCTTTCAATCCAAAGTGAGAACTAACAGGAAAATAATCCGATAAGTCACAATTTAGTACTTGAATTTCCGAACTTAATCTACTAGAAATTCTAAGCATATAAACAGATCAATTGTAGAACTTCCCGAAGTGAATACACAAGTAAATGCAAAAGAATATACCTTTTCAATACTGCTATTAAGAATATATAGTTGAGCTTAAGTCATTATTTTTAAAAGGTCATGACCCATTTTATTCTGTTTAACATCACTTAAGACCTTAGGAGTTCCAGTTATTTATTACAAAATGGGAGTCTTTTTGATTGGACGCAATATCATATAAACTTTCATTATTATTACGTGCAGCAAGCAAGGGACTTAATAATTGAGTCACCACAAAACGTAAGTCTTAAATAGGAGTGTTTAAATTGATCATATGTCATTGCGGAGTGATCTCAGAAGCGGAATACGGGGTAAAAGAATCCAAGTATACCAGCCCCTCCAACACATAGCTATACGTCAAAGAATAATTGCCAAACAGTATAGTATCACCTCGGAGTTTTGGATATTTACCTGCTTTCCTTAATTCGCTCAAAAAAGGAATTAATTGTTTACGTCTTAATCTAGATCTTTTTATAAGGTCCTGTGAAATTTGAGTTTCTTTCCATACGTTCGATAGGTTTTGCTGTTTCATTTTTATAAAACTCGAATATATGTAATCTCTTATTTGAGTATTTTTAATAATTAATTTAATTGTTGGATACTGTGATTTAGTTATTGGAATAATCGCTATTAAATCATCCATTGTAACTTCATGTAATTCTAATGATTCATTAATAAGATTAAACACTTCTAACTTGGTAGGACAAGTTTTACTGGGATATCTATATAACATTATATTATTGCGATGCTGCACGTTAACCATATTGTCCATTCGATATTGCATACTTTCATTTTCTATTTTCAAATTAGCAATTTGTTGTTCAAGATTAATTATTTGACTATTCATTTTTTGATTCTGGTCTTTAGATTCTTGGATACTATTACGAATCTGGTCCAAATCTTCTTTGATAATAGACATTTGACTTAATATTCTCGTATTAGAAACATTAATTAATTCAGAAATTTTATTCCATAGTGTAATACTTGATATATCAGATGAATTTTTTCCTGGTGAAGAAGATAAAAAATCAAATGGCTCACCTGATAGTTGTGAACTTAGAAGTGTAGTTTCAGGGTTCGAACCTGCATTTGCAGAGGATGGTTCAGGAGAAGTTCTTTCAACAAGTAAATTGTAGTCAGTAATTAACCTAGTATTAGTGGTCAAAGCAGATTCCTTTCTACTAGTTGATTTAGACTTTTGAAGTGGTGGTCTTCCTCTTTTAATTGGCGAGCGTTGCATGTTAATTATATTGATAGATTTTCCAACAATTATAATGTTAACACACAGCACAAACAGTAAAAATTTTAACGTAAAATTATTTGATAGGATACGTTCTTTACCTGAATTTGAAGTGAGTAAAAAAACGCGCCAGCAGCTTCGGCAGACAGAAGCACCCCCAATTTAATATATTTTAATTCAAGACAATTATATCAAAGAAAACCAGTGTTATTCCAAACTTCAAATCTGCTATAAACATTCAATACAGAATTCTGCTTAACCTGACATAGGTCAATGAGAGTAGCCAAAAATGTTCGTTTTTAATCAGTAAATTGCTGGAAAGTGAGAGGAAGATGTGAATTTTAGCATCTAAAACAAACAAAAAAAAAGGAAAAAAAAAAAAAGACTTGAAGTATTGCTTTAACTTTACTATTGCTTTTGATTTACATCTACAATAATATACATTTTGACTTTCCTTTATTTACAATTTGCTCCTTGCTGGTTCAGAATTTTCATTTTTCATCTTCAAAATTTCTTCATTGAAGGCTTCCTCATAGATAGCTTAAAATTTTCTAAAAAATTGATTGTATTTTCATCTACTGTAATAACATCAACTTCCTCATCAGAAATATCAGTAACATCTGAATTTACTAAGTTTTTTAAACAAATGGGTTTATGAAGAGTGTTGGATTCTTTTTCATGCAACTTCTTATTTTCCATATCTGATCTTGCAGATTTTGAAGAATTAGATAAACAATTTATATTTTCAACACTATTTAATTTATTTGATGTTATGTTAGATTGAGAAGTCAATTGAAAATCATTTTCTTGTAAAATACATTTTGTTTTATCACTAGCATCTAAATTGTCATATTTCAATATCTGTTCATTTTTTACGACATTTCTTTTATCATTACATACAAATTCTATCAAATTAAATTTGGTATTATTCTGTGAAAAAAAAATTTATCATTTATATATATTATGTATCAGATATATAAAAAAGTTTAATGATAATAAATTTGCAGGTAGGACTGGCTCTAGACTTTTTGCTGACCCAAGCAAGCAGAGTTGTTAGCTGCCCCATATTTTTTAAAAATTAAATAAGTTGTATTTATCTGAGCTATTTTAAATACAAAATAAAATTTTTTAAATTACATTTTTTAATTTTTATTACAATTTTTTAAATATTTTTTTATAGAATTATTTTGCTAAATATCACCCTTGAAAATATGCCATCTTGAGCAAATGCTTACTTTGCTGGTCATGTAGCCAGTCCTGTGTAGAAGAAAAATGTTTACATTTTAACATTTTTTAAAAAAATATTTATATTTAATAACATCAAAATTAATAATAGTTTCTTATATATTTTTTAATATAGTAACTTTGAAAATTGATAAAATAATTTCTTAAAATGTAGAAAATTATTCTGCCAGTTTTCAAAATTAGTAGAAAATTTTTAAATGTATGTTCTACCAGTGGTGCACTCAGGATTTAATCTTGGGGAAGCCAATTTGAATGAATAAATAAAAATTTTAATACAAATTCAATAAAACTCCCACCTTATGTGACCATTAATTCTTTAGTTAATGGGTAAAATACATGACACAAATATAAATTAAAAAGTAAATTTTAATTAGAAAAAGATTTTTAGAAAATTTTCTACTGGTTTCCCCTCTTTTTTTGGAGGGTGCCAGAGCCTCTTACCTCCTCCTTTGTATGCACCACTGTATTCCATATGCAAACACACACATACCCATGTACAGTACAATTTTACTTAAAGATATTTTTACATAAAATTTATACATGAAGAAATAAACTCTTAAATTGTCAATCTAACAAAAATATAAGATTCACTAATATAGTTTGATAAGCAAACTTTGTCACTTTAAAATTATCTCTCACTGCTTACTTAATTATAATAAATTATCTGTTTGGAATGAAAAATCATTAATAGTGCCTTTACAAAATAAACTAAAGTTAATATTTCATTAAAACTAGATTATTCAAATTTTGATAAATACTGTATATCACATTATATTGTTATTGAATTAAGATATTTACTTCAAAAAAGTAAAATAAAAACAGATAAATTATTATTTAAAAATGATTTAATTAACACTCAACCAAACAATCACTGTAATTAATTACAGTGATCGTTTGGTTGAGTATCAAGGTATTGGGAAGTTTATTAAATAATTTAATATTTTATTTATATTTCTATAATTAAAGTTTAACTTACAAATTTTATAAAAAAATAATAATTTTTAAAATAAAATATCAATACATAAAGCATTGATAGTAGAATGATCAGGTTATTTGAATGACTCATTCAAACCTGTAAAATTCTTGCAGGTTCTTGTTTACTACTATCAATAAAAGGAAATAATCATTTTATTCCAATCACCTTTAAATCAGACTTATTCACAGCTTATTTTAAACCAAGGATTAATCTTTACCAAGGAGGTTCCTACGAATTCTATAAAAGTCAGTCTTTTTTCTTTCCTTCAATACTTGAAATGTATTTCATATTTCTCAAAAGTAAAAGCCTCTTCAGTCTTTGAAGGGGAAACCCATTATTTTCTCTAATAAAAAATTTTTTTTTAATTAGAGTACTTTTGAGAAATCTAAAATACATTTCAAGTATCAAAGGAAAGAAGAAAAGACTGACTTTTATAAAACCAGAAAAACAAAATAGTACATGAATACTTAAATACCTAAAAAATTTTCTTCATAAAAACCACTACAATAGAATCCTTCAATATTTTTGGATACTGTTTGAAGCCTGCAATAAATACTGAAAATTAAAAAATTCACTTTTAAGCCATCTATTAACATTTTGGAGTCTTGATCAAATAATTGCAGATTTCAATTAATAAAACAAATTTATTAAGCGCTCGAATACTGTACAGAGTGCCGGCAGTACCATGCACGTGGTCAGACAGACTGTCCGGGAGACAAAGACTAAAAACTAAGGGCACGGTAAGTATTGCCAGGTTGGCCACATACTCCCTCCCCAGTGACAACACTCAGGAACTTAGAAGGGAAACATACAGTTTGTCCAGAATGAGTCGTCCATGGAAAAGGTGCCTGGATTTGCGTGGTCTCATCCAGTAGGTGGTCGTTTCTATCCACAGGTCCATTGTCACTGTTGGAGAATGGCGAAGGGGTGGTTGTAACTTTCAGAAAGAAAGCGGGTTTGAGGCGGTCGATTGAAACAGTTTGCTCTTCCTCGAGGTATATCTAAGTTGAAGTGTTTCTCTGAGCGTCATAAGACACGGAAAGGGCCATCATAGATTGGTTGTAATGGTTTGCGTGATGCATCATGACGTACGAAGACGTGTGAGGCAGTCATCAACTCAGGGTGTAAAAATATATTTTTAGACGAGTGGTGGACATCTCTGACTGGGCGAATCGACCTCATGTGATCTTTTAACCTGCAGATCAATGTAGGAAAATTATTGGCAGAAGTAGTCTCATGGTCAGCGAGGAGATCAGAAGGCAGTGCAATGGGTTCGCCGTACGTAATCTCTGCTGCTGTAGTGTTATAATTGGGGATGACATAGGATCTTAGCCCCAAGAGGATGGTTGGGAGTTTAGAAACCCAATTATTGGTCAGCTGAGCTCTCAGAGAGGACTTGAGCTGACGATGCCACCATTCAATTTTTCCGTTTGCGGCTGGGTGGTAAGCTGTTGTCTTAATGTGGTTAATTCCCAGGGCTTTGGTGAGGTCAGCAAAAAGTTGGCATTCAAACTGGTGACCCCTCTCAATGGTTATAATATGTGGTATGCCAAAGCGTGCAATCCATGTAGAAAGGATTACATTGGCTATAGTCTCAGCTGAGATGTCTGCCACCGGTATGGCTTCTGGCCAACGTGAAAATCTGTCTATGATTGTTACTAGATAAGTAAAACCTTGGCAAGATGGCAAGGGACCCACTATATCAATGTTGATGTGAAAAAAACGGTGATCGACTTGGCTGTAGGTCCCCACTGCACTGTTAGTGTGTCTTCCTACTTTGACTTTCTGACATGCGATGCAGGTTTTAGCCCACAACCTGACATCTTTCCTCATTGATGGCCAAACAAAGCATTTGCTGACCAAATCCACTGAACCCCTCATTCCAGGATGTGCTAAACCATGTAGTGAGTCAAAAACTAGTCGGCGGAACTGTTCAGGTACATAAGGCCTGTGTTTACTGGTTGAGATATCACATGTCACTTCAATTCCGTTTTCGAGGCAAACCTTTTCAAATTTCAGTGAACATGTTTGTGACTGTTGAAGTTGAGCAAGCTCTTTGTCCACAGCTTGTGTAGGGACAATATCTTCCAGGGGTATTCCTGTTGGGAGAAAAAAGAGCTGATTCTTGAGCAGACATCTGCTGCTACATTGTCCTTCCCTGGTATGTACCTGATATCTGTGGTAAATTGACCTATGTAGTCTAAATGATGGAGTTGGCGAGGAGATGCCTTATCTGAACGCTGCTGGAATGCGTAGGTTAGGGGTTTATGATCGGTATATATTGTGAAATTCCTGCCTTCTAAGATGTGGCGGAAGTATTGCATGGCTGAATATGCCGCTAAGAGTTCATGGTCGTATGTGCTGTAGTTTGCCTGTGGTTTGGTTAGTGTCTTAGAAAAGAAGCCTAGAGGTTCGACAATGGAACTATTCCTCTGTCGAAGAGCTGCTCCTATAGCAAAGTCTGATGCATCCACCATCAGCATCATTGGAAGGTCAGTGGAAAGATGGGCCAAGAGGGTAGCACCTGCTAGTTCCTCTTTGAGTTGTTCAAAGGCTGCAATTGACTCTGGGGTCCATTGCACTTTACGTTTGTCTCTTTTCCTGGTGTCTTTGCACAAATCAAAGAGAGCTTGTTGTGTGTGTGCCGTGTTGTGCAGTGAACGTCTATAAAAGTTGACTAGCCCTAGAAACTTTCCGAGCTGTTCTATGGTATCTGGGCATGGAAAGTTTCAGATGGTTTGGACTCGCTCAGGCAGGGGTACAATTCCTGCTTGGGAGACGTTGTAGCCCAGGAAAGAAACCTCCTGCACACCAAAAACACACTTTGACAGGTTGATGTTAATGGCGTGTCTGTGCAGCCTTGTGAACAGTGTTCTTAAATGAAACAAGTGCTCCTCTTTTGACTGAGATGCGATGAGAAGATCACCAAGGTATGAGTAGACAAAGTCTAATTCACGTAAAATATTGTGGATATATCTTTGAAATGACTGGGCAGCATTGCGTAGCCCAAATGGTAATTTTAGAAATTCAAATAAGCCAAAGGGTGTGATCACAGCCGTTTTTGGAACATCCTCTGGTGACACAGGTATATGGTGGAATGCCCACACCAGGTCTATTTTAGAAAAGATGGATTTGCCTCTCAGTTGGCAATTGAAATCTTGAAGGTGGAGTATCGGGTACCGGTCTGGTATCGTGATAGCATTCAAGGCCCGATAGTCCCCACAAGGACGCCATGAGCCGTCCTTCTTTGGAACAAGATGTAGAGGGCTGGACCAGCAACTTTTGGACTGTTGGAATTCCAGCTTTGCCTGTGCAAGCTTATCAGGAGGGAGTCGTCTTGGCTTAGCAGTGACTGGAGCTCCTGTCGTGACGATTGTGTGGTAAACGTTATGGTCACTAACTTGTTGGTATGTAGGTTGTTCCTTCAAGAGGTTGGGAAACTCCAAAAGAAGCTTGGAATACTTCTGTTGGGGTGATACCATTAGCACAGTTTGCTGATTAGTGGCGGTGGTAGTTCCTGGGGTTGCCAAGTGAGTGAGATTATCTCTCAAGCACTTATTCTTTAAATCCACAAGAATGCCAAAGTGACGTAGAAAGTCTGTTCCTATAATAGGATGTACGTCCGCTAAGGTAAATGGCCAGCAAAACATCTGTCAGAGTCTAATATCAAGTTTAAGGAGGCGCTCCCCATATGTAGGTATTATGGAGCCATTAGCTGCATAAAGTTGACGATTACTGATATGTCGTTTTTCTAGGGTGGTGGGAGGTAAGACAGAGATGTCTGCCCCCGAGTCTACCAGGAATCTGCAACCAGTGGTAGTATCAAAAATAAATAAGTGATTGGATGTTTTCTCCCTGCCCCTCTGAGTGGCAGAGAGAGCGGGGCTTAGTCGTTTCCCGAGGCTTCCTTGATGACACGTTTAAAAGAACAAGGTGGGGTGCACTTCATGGCATTCGCTTTGAATTTGAAGTGATACCAACAAACATTATAACCTGGTACATTTGGACTGGGAGAGCGCCGTCATCTCTCTGAGCGTGATGAGGAACGTGCTCGTAACTCGTGGATCGAAATGGCAAGTTCTGATACAGCTTTCTCCAAACGAGAGAGCCAATCTGTTTGGTGTGCGGTTGCACCACTAGTGGAACAAATGTCTGTATTAGGACTGGTTATCTCCATAATTTTGTCAGCCATAGTGGCCAAGGTATGGAGACTGTCTTGCTTGGTCACTAAAACTGAACGCACGTTGTTAGGCAACCTCTGTAGAAAGAGCGTTCTAAGGAATTCGTCCATTACTTGTGTACCGGCCAGTGCCCGCATTTCTCTAAGTAGTGCCGAGGGCTTTTTGTCTCCTAGCTCGATTTCTAGGAGTAATTTTTTTGCCTTCCTACTTTCGGATTCTTCGAACTCGTTGATTAATTGCGTTTTTAGGTCTGTGTAGGGCGTGCTCGTCAACGGTTGGGATATTAGATCGGCGACCAATTCGGCTATTTCACAGTCAAGTGATCCTAGTACATGGTGGTATTTCATAACCTCTGTCGTGATATTAGAGACAGCGAATTGTGATTCCACCTGTGTGAACCATACTCTAACATTCTTTCTCCAAAAGGGTGGAATTTTCACCGATACACGTGCTACCTCGACGGGGTCTTTGCTCTTGCTCATGATGGAAATATATAATATAAATACTCACAGAATTGGCTAAATAAGTTCTTGTGATCACGTCCTGTTTACCACTTTGGAGTCTTGATCAAATAATTGCAGATTTCAATTAATAAAACAAATTTATTAAGCGCTCGAATACTGTACAGAATGCCGGCAGTACCGTGCACGTGATCAGACAGGCTGTCTGGGAGACAAAGACTAAAAACTAAGGGCACGGTAAGTGTTGCCAGGTTGGCCACAACATTTTAAGATACCATATAAGTGGATCTTCTCCGTCAACCGTTCTTTTCCTCATTTATGTAGTCTACATATATTATCTGCACCTTTAGCACAATGCAAGACTACTTTGTTTGTTTATGTTGGTAGATTTTTTGCAGAAAGATTGTTTAGGTGGCAGTTTTAAAATATTCTTGTAATATTTTGCATTTCTGTTTTTATGAGAAAATAATAGTGTATCTTCTCAATCAAAGAGTGAAAGAAAATGTTACTTTTGCAAAATCTGAAATGCATTTCAAGTAATCAAGGAAAAGAAGAAGAACCAACTTTTACAAAGTACAATATGAACATCCTTAGTAAAAAACAGCCATTGATGTGATGAGATTGCTGTGAATAAATCTGGTTTAAAGGTCATTGGAATAAACCATAAGAAGCAAACATTATAACTGATTTTAAATCACTTTATATTTTCCACATTAAGCATAAAAATATGAAAGTCCAGAAACAATTTTCAAAGTTACATTACTAATAATAAAATGCCTTAAATACAATTAAAATAAGTTATCAATTTAATGCTATTTTAAGTTATAAAATTATTTAATAGCAAAAATGTCAAATAAGTGTGCTCTAAAACTGAAACTCTTATCAATTATCCACCATGGCAACAAATCAAATACATAATCTAAATAATTCACTTAATTGTCTATTGTCTTTTACAGCATATGATAGGAAACAGCACAACTGTCAAGTGCAGTGTTTCTAAATGGAACATGGGATATAGGATTTTTATTTTAAGTTTCATTGGATTATTAATTAGAATTCTAATTAGAAAAACTTTTTAATTAGAAACAGTAACATTATATTTTCTTTCATCATCATAGTTTAAATTCATATTCTGATATGTTAAACATATCTTCAAAACATTTCTTAAATCAAAAATTATATAAAGAAACATCTTTAAATATTCAAACATCTATATGTCTAATATTTTAAAATTCTTACCGGGTCTAATTCATCCATCTCATCATTTCCTATGTTAGAGCTTTCAGAATTCATTGAAATTTTGCCTATAATATCTCTATAAATTTGATGCTAAAAGAAAAAATTAATTGATAAACATTTTGAAAAAAAAACATTCATTTTGAATGTTTTCAATATATCATATACATTATAATATTGTACAATGAAAACTTATGTTATATTATCCAACATTCAAAAAAGATTTTTTACTGATCTTTTTAATCCATTTAATCCATCCATCCCCAAATGTCATGAGAGACAGTGAGTAAATCTAGGTGACAAAAAGAAGCAAGAGGGTAGCAGGGTTGCTGGAGATAGGGGTCTGACCAAATGATGACCATAGGTTAGATCACTGATAACCATTCTCTTTCCTCTATTAAAATGGGCAAGAAGAAACATTAGATTTAATGGTTTCAAGATGTGGAGAATAATATAAAGTAAAAACATAAACTCTGAGGTTCATAGAAAAGCATTTCTACAAATATTTTCAAGCCTTTCTCACGAAAAAAAAATGAGTTGAGGTACTTGGGTACAAGTTTATGGTACCAAGTTTATGAGTGGTTCAAAAAAGTTTAGGAATCACTGATTTAGTTTCCAGTAGTCAATTATGATTTATCAAAATTGACAACTGGAATCTAAAACACAAAATATTATAGTCAATCAATCAGTAAGAAAGTAAAATAATAATTCATAACAATAAGAATAAGAAAAGTAAGATACACAAATATCAGTTACAGTAAAACCTTGATTAACTGAGATCATGTTATAGGAGGTGAACCTGTAAGTAAATACATTAAGTGCATAAATACTTCAGTACTGTACTTTTAACCTTGACTGTACCAAGAGAATGGCTGTGTCCATAGTGTCTTTATTTTTTTTTAACTTTTACTGCCTTGTGCCTTACGTCTTTTCTTGCCCCCCTTCGCCACATGATGGGTCCGACTCAGTGGAGAGGAGTTGTGTAATTCTGGGGTGTGTAACCGAGGGTGGGAGTTTTATTGGAGGGTGTGTCTCAGGGAGAAGGAGAACGGAAGTGAAGAGAGGACGGGGAAGAAGCAACGTAGTGGTGGTGGTGAAATTGCATGGGAAAGTAAAGACTGTGCAACCAAGTCAGCGTGGAGATTTTGGAATTTCGAACTATTTTCTGCCCAGAGTGAAGAAAAGGGAGAGATACACTTCAAACTCATTTGTTGGTATGTTTTATGTCTTCACATTACAGAAATTTTGAGCAGTATATTGTCGGGAGATTTGATGTTAACGATATTCGGTATACTAAATTGTCGGGCTCAGTACGTTCCTATGACTATTATTTTCCTAGAAGTACTGTATGCTCCCAGGAAAATTAAAGGGTTATCTTGTTAATTTGTATAGTTGTCTTTGTCTAGTCCCTATTGAGATCAGTGGATTCCCCCTGCTAAGCGTCTGCTCTATCAAGCACGCTTGTTCTAAATTTCTCCCTTCGAAGAAATCACTAAAATTCTATGTGATGATTTGTTGTCACGTTTTATACTCTCACAGCCTTATGGATACTAAAGTATTTTTCCCCATGTCCATTGTGGGTTTGGCCAGTCCCAAAACAAGTCAGAAACTGAGGGATGAAACTCGACAAATTCAGATCAATCCCCCCATGAAAAACATGTCAAGGTGATTGCAGAATATTGTGGTAAAGACGAGAGGAAGGGCTATAAAACCAAAAACATCTAAATAACTTTTTAAAGAAAGTTAAAAAGTACATATTACATTTAACATACTGTATAATATAAGTAAAGACCAGATTTCAATCAATTTAAGCTAATTATTCAAATTAAAAATTTAATTTAAGTAAATAATTTAGAAAAATTATTATTAAATTAATACTAATATGAAGAGGCCTACTGTCTACCTTCAAAATCTTTAAATAAATTCCTCATATCAAGCTTAAGTTGATTATATGTAGCATTGTTGAAAGAAATTTAGCTTTATTCTCAAAATATTTTAAGAATAGGTCTTTTAGAACATTGTTAAAAAAATACAGTATCATTTATATATTTAATGCAATCTGTATTCAATCAACTAATTGATACAATTTAGTTGATTGAAGTCATCTAATTTATAAACTATTTAAGATAAAACTATTAAAATAAATATTTGCATGTTTGAAAAATGAAAGAACTACAATATATTTATTTTTCTAACAAATTTACTAAAATGATTTTTATTGTTGTATAAATAAGCTCTATTATATGAAGCCCTCAGGGACATATAGTACTAACCCTCAAAATCATGTTTCTGAGGTAATTGAATTCAAATGTTTGAAAAAATCCTAAAATGAAAAATTCCAAAATAATGAGATGACAGTCACATCTAAAGGCAACATTTGGAGAGCAAAAATATCAACACCCAACTATACATACAATTTTAGGACTTTATCAAACATTCAAACTCTCTTACTTCAGAGACATGATTCTGAAGATTAGCACTATACATCCCGAGGGCTTCATACATTACACACATTTCAGAACATTTTGTAGTAACTAGTATTAAATAAAATCTTACCAAGCTGCAATCATCAAAGTAATCAACATAATCATCTAAATTTAACTCAATTGTATCATTTTTAACTGAACTCTCAAATTCTTTTAGGACAGTAATAAAGTCAGGCTATAAGAAAAAAAAAATTTGTAAATAATTATGAATTAAAAAAATTAATTAGGATATAAAATATTTGTTACATTTTGTTCTGTGTATTCATTCAGTGCAGTAAATAAATGAAAATCATCAAATAAATTCAGGTCAAAATTGCCATCCTAGGAAAAAAAGTTAAAAATTTTAAATTAAAAGCAAAAAATATAATTTTAAAAAATTTATATAAATTTTATTTTCCAACTTAAATTAAATGAATTATCAATGAAAAATTGAGGATTATTTATTGTTTATATATTTATTTTTATAAATATCATTATTTTTCTGCAACAATGCATAGTCACTATTTTAGTTACATTATATTTAACCCTGCATTAGTGCACTGAGTTTTTTTTTGGCATTAGTGCAGTGGGGCGTTTGTCCACCCCGACATTTTTTTGGGTCCATAAACCATGTGAGTAAAAATTCATAAAGATTTACTCATTTATTTGGTAAAGGCATGTGTTATTATGCATATGATTATATTCAAGTATGATTACATATTATATTAGTACATTAATCCATGAAAATAAAAAACAACATTTATCAAAACTCATTACATTAGATCTTATTATTAAACCAATAGTAAAAATCTAAATTGTTTTTTAAGCATTTTTGTCACT